TTCCCTGGATGGAGCGGAAACACCTTCTTCTAAAGTAACACAAGAACAGAAATGCAAGTATCCAATGTGCTCAATACTAATATGAATCTAATAGAAAAACAACTACATGCCCACACAAGAGAATTAGCACAAGTATATTTAAGGGGGTGAGGGGAAAACAAAGGAGGGGGGTAGTCTCTCGCCTGATGGACACATTGTGAGGGTGTACAGCACACTCAGGATGAAAGGCTCAACTGCCTCAACTAGAACTTGAACTTTATCTTAGAAACACAAACAATGTAACCTAATCATTGGTACCTTCATATTAATCTGAATTTAAAAAAATAATTAAAAATTTTAAAAAATTAAAACAATTTTTAAGATAGGAAAGACTTGACTATGTTTGTATATCATTAGAAAAATTTAGTTCAGGAAAAGTTGGTGAATATACATGAGAGAAATGAAGTGATTAATAATATACACTGCTTTGAAAGCTGAGAGCATGTGTACTTGAAAGCATAAGTAGAATGTTGGCCTTAGATAGGAGCAGGCACTCCTATAATATGACTAGAGGGAAAAGAGTAGATGGTTTTAGAAGTAGGCTTGTAGCTTTGATAGCAGGAAAAATAAGGCTTTAATTTTCTTTCTGATGTAGGAGGTCATGTCATCGGCTGAAAGTGAGGAGAAATGTAGGAAAGAGGAGGGTGAGTGGAGATAAACAGATGGCTAGAAATACTCATTGTGGAAAATGAGAAAGATTTGACCAAACAAATGACATAGAAGGGACTGAAAGACCATGGAGGTTGGTGATCATGAATAGTAATAATTGATGTGTTTAGACCAGCGGGTTCTCAACCTGTGGGTCGTGACCCCTTTTTAACAATTAAAATATATTGCAGCATTAGGAAGGTTGAGAACCACTGGTTTAGACTGTGTGGCTTTTTCCAACAGCTCCAGGCTTCTCAGTATGCCAAGGGAGTGGAACTTGAGGGTCAGGCAGAGTTAGAATTTTGCAAGCCATATGTGGCCAAAGTAATTCATGAATGAGAAAGAATAACTGGAGTGAGGGAAGGTAGTGTGGCTGAACATCAAGATCCTGGTAGTGGGGGAAGTAGGTTTGTTTTGTTTGTTCAGTAAGAGGGATGGGAAGAAATTATCTTAAAATAGCTTTGTAACACCACTTTCCAAACTTGATATGATAATATCAATATGATAATAGAGAACAAAATCCCACCTCTTGAGAACTAGGGGGAAAGCCTGGTTTCTTTTAAGAGGTTGAGAATCTAATCTCTGGTCAAGTTTGTTGATCAGAGGAAGCCTTTTCAGAGTGAGCAATGGAAGAGATTTAGAATTTAGCAATGGATAAAGGAGTTGAGGCTAATATATCCTGGAAGGAAAATATAGAACTTTGTGTGAAGGATGATGTTAGTATACCAGAGTAGGCAAACTTTTTCTGTAAAACATCAGATAGTAATTTTTTTTTTTTTTTGTAGGCTGTAAGATCTCTGTAGCAACAATTTTAGTTCTACTTCTGTAGTACAAAAGTAGCCATAGAAAATATGTAAATGATCAAGGGTGACTTTCTCCAAGAAGTCTTTTTTTATGGGTATATATATTTGAATTTCATGTAATTTTCACATATCACAGAATTATTCTTTTGATTTCTTTTATAAGAAATATAAATGTGCAAACCATCCTTAGCCCACAGGCCATATGGAAATAAGTTGTGTGCCAGAATTGGCCTTCAGACTGTGGCTTACTGACCCCCTGCAATAGTGGATCTTTTTAAGAGAGTGTGTTGGGGAGTGTAAATTGAGGATAATGGTTCTGGGCATAACAACATGTTATAAGGTTTCAAGGTTCTCTTATTTTTGAGGAGGAATGACATTGTTGGGTCTGATGGCTTGTTGGCCTGTCTCATGGCCTCTGGTGATGTTGGTCTAAGTGTGCTCTTTGACCTGAACTGAGATAGTGGCAACCCAGAAGCTGTAGACTATGTAATCACACCACCTATATGGTGACCATTCCATGAGCTCAAACACTGTACCAGATGTGCCTGGTAGTGGAGTTGATTCCCAGAACTGTAAACAGGTGGGTTAAACTGAAAAGACTGTGGAATATCTCTTCCAAGTGCTTGTAAAGAGAATTCTAGTTTTACAGCATAATGATTTTAAGCTTTAGTATCAGAAGAGTTCTCTATTTCTAACCTGTAAAGAATTAACAAAATGTGAATTGTAAAAGTAATTAGTTTAACAAGTTTAACAGGTGCAGATTAGTGGAAATGCTATTTAATTAACCTTAATGTTACATCAAGGTGGCACCATTAAGTATTTTTCAATTGTGAATTATATGGATGACCTTACAAATAGAAGTTTCATTTGAGGGCAGAAACTTACATTGATACTAATTCATACTACTGGTAATTTATTCTGAGAAAATGATTACTAAAGAATGGCATTGCTTAGACACTGCAAGGAGTTTTCATTCTGCAAGGAGGAAGGAATGCATGTTGCTGATGCATTATTAATTTTTAGTATCTGATTTTCTAATATTAGTTTTTAAGCTCATTTAATTCTTAAAACTTGGCTTGTACAAACATTTTAAATGATGTTTTAATTCAATGAAAATAGGAATTTTTGAGTTAGAAAGTGGTGACCTTTTTATTAGACTGATTTTTTTAAAGACTCAAAGGCAGCAATATTCTAAATAAGTTTTACAAATCATTGAAATATAGGGCTGGGCCTGATGGCTTATTGCCTGTAACACCAGTACTTTGGGAGGCAGAATATGAGATGGGAGAACCTATTGAGGCCAGGAGTTTGCTTAGGGTTTATGAGACCAACTGTAGATTGCTAATAGTTTTAAGAGATGATTGGCTAAGGAGGAATTTGTACTGAACTATCTCCCTTGAGTACTTCTGTCAGAGAGGTGGTGGTGGCAATGGTAAAAGCATGGTCATTGGGCACAAAGTTACAAGGAAAAAAGTAACCAATATGAGAATTTTGTTAGTTAGAGACCAACCATGGTAATTCCTTAGAGTATCGAAAAAGAAAAACAAGGATGGATTGCATGCCAGTATCAGCCAATGTGTTCCACTTTCCTTTCTGTCTCAAGCCACAGACAAAGCTTGTTTCTTTCCCTGCTACTTCTCTCTTATATGTAAATATTGCTTTATAGCCATCTTTGCTAAAGACGGGAGTCTTGGGTGAACATGTGTGCACTAGTCACTAAAGAAATGACTCAGGAGAGTGGAAGGGAAGCAGGAAGAGAAACATTTAGAGATTTGTTACCTTATCCATGGACAAGGGGCCTGGAGAAAGTTGGAGACAGGGACATCAGAGTAGCCCTTCCAAGTTAGGGAGCATTGTGTCTGTATTGTGAAAACATATGGCATTGGTCAGGAAGTGAACCCTTGCATTTACACACTCCAGGTAGGTAGAGTGGAGGTCCATGAATATGTGTCACATGGCAGTGTTTACAGTCAGGTTATAAAGGATGTTGAAAGCACCATGTCATTTAACTAGGGAAAGCATCGGTTTTGTGAATGATCTGTTCTTCCTAAATTAGAGATTACACAAGATTATACAAGATACATTCAACATTATAATGTTATTAATAATGAGCAGGTCTGCTTTCTTGATTTTGAGAAAGACAGCAGCAATACAGTTTCTGAAGAATTTCCTGATGCTCTGAATTGTAGCTGGTGTGCAGAAAGCCCGTAACAACCCTGTGAAGGCCCATGAAAATCTGGCATGCGGAAACACTATTGCTCACGTATAGGGTAGACTAATGGCTGAGAACCTCTGGTACATATAGTCCAATAAAGGCCAATTTGTTAAATTGAATTTGTCATTTAAATGTTTTCTTTATAATTCAACACATGTTTAGATACAGCTACTAGATAAACTGAATCAGTCACATTTCAAAGTTGTTCTCCAGACTAAAAGTATAACAGTGCCTCTGTATAAACATTAAATATGTCCATTGTCACAAAACAAATGAATTGGATTGATCTACGACTACGATTCTGCAGTAGAGATAGAAGTAGGCAAAAATGAAGATGGTGTAATATCAGCAGTCAAAAAATGTTCTTTTTACTATATTGATAATTGTAAATTTAACGTTGTCCTTTAGTAGTATTTCTTGGTTATAGGAAAGTAATATTATAGCTACATGTAGTAAAAATGGATATAGAGTACTTTCGATCTGGATTTGGAATATATTTTGTAATTTTAGGTAAAAATAGAGAATTCATGTTTTGGGAGTTACTCTGAACACCTGCTCAGATTACCTGACACTACCTTACCCAGCTCTGTTCTTTTAGTTTTCCTTATCTCTTGAGTAGAAATTTCTCTCCAACTGATATGTATTTAAGTCTTCTCTGAAGTTAGAAAGATGATTGTCACAGTGGATTCCAAGGACTACATGTAAGATAATAAGAACAGATAAAGATATCAAAATATTGAAAATAGGCCATATTAGAAACTATTAAAGTCCTTGAGACTCCTCACACTCATGGAACACCTTGAAACAATTATTCAGTCCAGTTTATATTACCCAAACAATGTAAGTTATTAAGGTGAGCCACGATCAGATTATATTTATAATTTATTTTAGGATATTTGGAAAGAATCTTCAAGCTAAAAATAGTACCTTAAAATCTAATTTAAAAAGCAATATCCTCACATTGTAAAATAAATGGAAAATATAGAAAGGAGCAAGAATAATACAAAACTCCGTCAGAGTTCTAAAATTCTACCATTATTACAGAATGGATAACTGCTATTTAATGTTTTCTTTATCTTTTCCTTGTCCATTTTTGTGTATGTGTCTTTTTACAAAGTATACCTGGGATCCAACAACTTTAACCATTTTTTCATTTTATATATTAGAAACATTTTATAACTCATTAAGTTTTATTTTATAATATAATTTTAATAGCTATGTAATATAGAAAGAACTTTAAATGTATGTTCAATTTAACCAGAGCTTCCTGGTTTATAGATTTTTTTTCTGTATAGGTTTTAGACACTTGTACAATGAGAATGAATCTAAATTCACCAGCCCGATACCTTTATGATTTGTTTGGAGGAAAAATTGAAGATATTTCAAAAGGTAAGTGGCAAACACTATGTAAGCCATGTGTTGACATTTTGAAAGACATTCGTATAATTTTGTTTTAAATTATAACATGAATAAATATGGTATTCTTATATAAAGGGAAATCATAAAAGGGCATTAAGGTTTTAGGAATTTTTTTATTTAGCATAAGTAAGCATTATTAAAAAACTTGATGGGCATTTTAATCTTAGTAAATCATAACTAAATGTGATTAATACATTTTTATAATTTAACAGTTTCTTTTCCTTTTTTTAGTTTTTATTTTTATTTTATTCCAATCAGTTCCAAGTGATTTTTAATTATATAAATGCCTTGTATAATAGTGAAGTTGGGCTTTTAGTGTCCCTAACACCACATAGTGTACATTGTACCTAGTAGGTAGTTTTTCATCCCTCCCTCCCCTCTCAGTCTCCCTCGTTTTGAGTCTCCAGTGTCTGTTATACCCCTCGGTACCTCCCTGTGTATCCAAAGCTTAGCTCCCACATATAGGTAATAACATGCAGTATTTGGCTTTTTGTTCCAGAGTTACTTAGGATGATGGCTTACAATTTCATCTAAGTTGTTGCAAATGAAAATTTTATTCTTTTCGTGGCTGAGTAGTATTCCACAGTGTGTGTGTATGTGTGTGTGTGTGCACGTGTGTGTGTACCACATTTTCTTTATTCATTCATTGGTAGGCACTTAAATTGATTCTGTATATTTGAAACTGTGAATTGTGTTGTGGTAAACATATAAGTGCATGTGTAATTTTGGTATAATGACTTCTTTTGCTTTAGGTAGATGCTCACTGGTGTGATAGCTAGATCAAATAGTAGGTCTACTTTTAGTTCTTTGAGAAATTTCTATACTGTTTTCCATAGAGGCTGTACCAATTTACATTCTGATCAACAGTATATAACAGTTCCATTTTCACTGCATCAACGTCAACATCAGTTGTTTTTTGACTTAACAATGACCATTCTGACTGGGATAAGGTGGTATCTCTTTGTGGTTTTAATTTTAACAGATAATTTCTATAGGATACATATTTCTAAATGAAAAGTGAAAAATTGTGCTATTGAATGATTAGATAGAAAGATAGAGGTTTTAAAAATGTGTTGGTTCTAGGGGCAGAGAGAGTTTGGTGCTCTATTTTGTCTTTTCTAAAACCCCAATAGGAAAGAAATACAGAGGAAGAAAAAGGAAAGAAAGAAGCAAAATGGCCTACACTGACAATAAGGTGATTAGGGTAGAAAGGAAAGTTAATAGGACATATAGACAGAGAGTGAGAAAAGTTGGTCAGAGAGGGGAAGAAGAATGAATATGCTTAAGTACCTCTATCTCTCTTTGGATTTTATTCTAGTGTACTCTGTTAATGCTTTCCAAAATGCTTATTCATTGTTTAATCAATGTGTATAGTTTCTAATGGCCCCTTTTTCCACATAATGTCATAGAACCTACTTTAAAGAAATAATAGTTAGAATACAGGGTGGCCATAAAGTTCAGGTGCAATTTAAAATTGCACATTATTTTTACTTGCCCATGAACTTTATGGCCACCCTGTATTCCAACAGCAGAGCAATTATTCTCTCTAAAAGAATAACAAGTAGCACAGGAAAGGTCTGGAACAATTTAGGTCTCTGAATCTGAAAGTTTTTACCTGACTTAAGATATTATAAACAAGTTTAAATATTTGCATTTGAACTGATAATTTTTCAGGAAGTCAGAGTTCCTACTGTTCAGTAATATATTTTTAACAACACATTTCCATAGAAGTGTAAAGTTTTACTTGCTGTTCAGCTAGGGGATATGCCAAGAGTTTTGTTATGCTCTTAATTTCTGCTTAAAAAAATAAACTATGGTGTAATTCCTTTGTGGAATTATTAGTTAGTGTGAAAGTATAATTTCATTGAAAAATAAGATAATTACTGTCTTCATAAAATGTAAGAAGTATTAGACATTCAATCAATGGTATGGCAAACTCTACAGAACAAACCAATATCCAAAAATTTCAATGTGTTTTCTTTAAAATATGAAGAAGCTTCTGTGGTACATTGTTATCTAGTATTTTATATTGAATGAGGACAGCATTTTTAATTAGTAAGCAATGATAGAAAGGACACAAAGCCCAATTTAAAAAAAATATGTTGGTTCAATTGCCAGAGGTTATTTAAAAGCTATGATATATCAGAAATATATCACACTAGTTATGGACCAGTTTGGAACCCTTAGGAAGAACTCCAGACCCCATTACTCTCCACTAAATTACCAATTTTATGCTGTTGATGCTCCTACCCTGGTTGATCTGAAGTTATAAATCAATGCAGAGTTGCAGAGGGGAAAGACTGAAGTCACTGAAAGCAGAGCTTGGGAAAGAGGTGAGAACAATTGGTATGTGCTGGTGCAGCACAGTATTGTTCTTCCAAGTATATATCCTTTGTCACGGAATTGCCAGATTTGGAATTAATTCGACCATAGAGAAATTCATACACTAGGTCGTTGTGTTATCAACTCAGAATAAGTACTTATTCTGGGCCAGGCACTATTCTAAACTCATAACAAATATTAACTTATTTAGTTCTTAGAGAAACAATGTTAATTACTTAGAAACTGTATTTATTATTTAGAGAATTGAAAAACAAAAACAAAAACAAGGATGCCTTTCTTGCCACTATCAATGTGTTCTATTTTCTTTTTTGTCTCAAACCACAGATGTACCTCTAATTTCTTCTCCTGATACTTCTCCATTCTCTCTTTTCCCTCACTCTTTCTTCCTCCCTCACTACCTTTCTCCCTTCCTTCCTCTCATCTATCAAAGCATTCGGTTTTCCTAATCTGTTTAATATAGACTGTAATTATTTTATTGTTTTGTTACTTTTTGTGTGTGTGCACTTCTACCACACTACAAATTTGCTGGACGATAATACACTTGATAGATAGTACTTGGTTGTATGAAGGAATTTTATTTTATATCACTTTCCTGCATGATCTGTCTCTTGACCAGAATGTACCATAAGTGAGGGCAAGAACAGAGACTGTTTTTGTTGCAACGCCAGTAATTAGCACAGTGTCTGGGCCATAACTGACACTCGTAATGGCATGAATGAACTAAACTGTCTTTTCTTGGGCATTCAGTTGTTTCCAATGTTACATTATTAAAATGAGATCATCTTCAGGCAAAAAAAGTTATACAACATGCTTTAAAATAATCTCATTGTATATCTTTGTTGACAGATGAGATAGCCATCTAATATATCTAAAAGTTCTATTTTGTTAGTACCTGAAAACATTTATTATTAATGCAAGTTTAAGAGTAATTAGAAAATATTGTTGATCATAATGAAAATACCATGAATTCCACATTTGCGAATTTTAATGTCCTATGGGGATAATCTTATCACTTCATCTAAACTTTAACTCCATGCTTGTGGGGAGCCAAGATACTAAATAACATGCCTGTAGCTGCAAGGCTAGGTCCAGATAACTACAGTGATTGGAGATATGGCTACACTATATACTTCCATTTTTTCCCCAATTTCCTCACTTCAGCTACATAAAGTATAATATTTCCTTGATTTATCATCCTTTATTAATACTTATTGAATGATAACTGTGACATTTTAATACTTAGAGTTTATTACTCAATTTTTTTGGCTAAGGATTACAGTATGTGTGTATATTGAGAAAGTATATTTTTCTTGTCATTTTTAATGTTTGTATTAGATATGATAATTATTTTTTATTGTATTAAGAGTTTTCTTCTGACTATTTCAAAGCTTCTGTAGATGCTTACCCATTATCTAGAAGAGTTTAGATAAAGTCATTTACCTGTAAACCCCAGGAGCCCTTCCTTTTGACCTTTTTGGGAGGATAGTGAGAGCATTATTCTTTTATTTGAGACAGAGCCTCAAGCTGTCACCCTGGGTAGAGTGCTGTGGCTTCACTGCTCACAGCAATCTCCAACTTCTGGGCTCAAGCGAGTCTCCTGCCTCAGCCTCCCAAGTAGCTGGGACCACAGGTGCCTGCCACAATGCCCGACTATTTTTTGGTTGCAGCCATTATTGTTGTTTGGCAGGCTCGGGCTGGATTCGAACCTGCCACCTTAGGTGTATGTGGCTGGCACCCTAGCCACTTGAGCCACAGGCGCTGAGCCAGAGAGTATTATTCTTAAAATTGATGTCTTCCTTTCTTATATTTTTTGTCTTATGTCCTATTACAGTAGCTAACATTTTCATTATGATCAATAATATTTTCTAATTACTCTTAAATTTGCATTAATAACAAATAACATATTTTCTTAGGACCCTATCTAGCTTTGAATTATTTTTAGCTCATCTGGAATTAAAAAATTACATTTGAGTAAACTGGCAAAATTGAACTGGTAAGAAACCTTGTTTAAGATGAAAGATTTATATTTAGAAAGTTGATATCCCCCCATCCCTAATATGGTATAACAGAATTACTTATCAAAACAGAAAATCACTGACTCTGAGGCATGATACTTCATGGATGCCAGAGGCATTTGGATTCATGCCTCATGCTTCACATGTCCCAGATGTGTGCTATTATCCCATTTTAATGCATGCCTTGCCCTGTGTTTCTGCATACTTATAAAAGCTTATGCCAGCTGAAGTTAGCCTATGCAACTACTAACATGTGGAAGCATTACAAGTTCACTGGACTTAAAATACTTATAGACGCTAATCCTGTTGGAGGAACTTCCAGTCTGTAACACCCTAGTCACTTAACATTAGGTTTTTAAATTTCTTTTTCTTTGTTTATTATTACAATTTTGTATATCAAATAATTGAGATCCCTAAATTTTTATGTTCAGTGATCTTTCTTCTGAATCTCAACTTGGGAAAGGTAAAGTGTTATGTGAAGATTATCTTTTAATTTAAATAAATATTAATATTCTTTGGATTTGATGTATGTCTTTTTTGCTTGCTTTGAATGTCACTTAATAATATCTAATGTTAAAATCATAGAAATTAATTTATATTTATAATCACAGATTAAAAGTATAATCGTCCCAAGGACTAAAAGCAACAAATACATAAAATGAAAACTTTTGTCCTATCTGTTGCTTCCTCTGGAATTAGATATACTTCCAAGTTTTCTCCTATGCTATGAGAAATGAGCACATTGACATGAAGTCTAGTAAAAGTTTTGAAAAACCCCTAGGATTTGCAAATTGCTTGTGTTTTTAGATTTCTAAACTGTAAAAGATTTTAATAAAGAAATTTATGTTGATTCACATGGAAAAATTATTTTGCTATAAATCCTATATAGATCTATTCTTTCTACAGAAGAGCGTATAACTTTGCACAGATACCATATTCCTTAGATGATCATCATGTTAGTACATAATACATAATACAGTTACTACTTGATATATGTGAAGGATTGATTGTAGGACCTCCACCCCCAACCAAAATCCACGAGTACTCGAAGAGTCCCTTATATAAAATGGAGGAATGTTTGTATATTACCAAAGCATGGAACCTCATGCATACCTTACATCAACTCTGGATACTTAAAATACCTAACATAATCTAAATGCTATGTAAATAGTTGATATACTGTATTATTTTATGATTTTTAATTATTTTCATTTTTGTGCTTTTTAAAATATTTTAAGTATTTTCCATCTGAGGTTGGTTGAGTCTAGGGATGTGGAACCCACAGATGTGGAGGGCCAAATGTATATACTTGAAAAGCGCATTCTGTAACATCATGACCACCAAAATAACAGCCAAGAGAAAAATAGGGTTGAAGAAGACCATTCAAAATTACCTTTAAAATTGCAACACTAGCTAAAATAACAATTATTAACTTAGCAGATGACGTAAGCAACCTGGGCAGGCATCTTAGAGTGCTGCTTCAGCAGAGGTTAAAGCTGCACAAAAGGAAAGAGTGTGAGACGATACAGATGGAAGTGGAGGGGAAGCTTGAGGCAGTGGGGCTTCTTTAAAGACATACAGTAGGAAGTAGAACTTCCATGATCGCTGAGCCACGTCAGGCCAGGGGTGCACCTTTCTGGGATGGCAACTCCAGTACCACAGCCAAGCTGAAGTTTGTTTTTTTTCTTCCCTGCCAAAGGAGAATTTTTCACCTGCTCTTTTGGTTTCTTTGACTTAGGGAAAGCACACATTTCACTAACCAACTTCCATTATCATTTTGGCATTTATTCCCCTGTTCACTAATCACTTCTCAGCAATTGGATGTTATAGAAGTGTTTAACAGCAGCAGACAGACATAGATAGTGTCCAGTTTTGAGGGAATTGTTTGATAATACTCCTAAAATTCCCCAACTTTTTGATCTCTCCACTTCTTTGTCTTAATTATTACATTACAGTGAACCAGAGAAGTCACTGTCCATCTTGAGGGAAGAGAGCATCAGTCTCTTAGGAGGCTGCTCTTCCAATAACCATACTATGCTCCTTTGTGGATCCCTGTAGGTTACAGTGAGTGGTATTAAATTTACTCCAGTGGTTCTAAAATGAGTTTAAATACTGCATAATTAGATTGACTCCAGGACCATTTTTTGGCACACTAAATGTTCACTTCTTATTTCATTTTACATCTACAAGTTATGCCCAGCAGAACTGTCCAAAATAGCTAAGTATGTTCAGATATGTTCTTCCAAGGTTCTGAATGAGATTAAATACAGAATTAACATATTTCAATCATAAAATCCCAATAACATAGAGATTTCCCCACTTTATGAATGTTAACCCTTGCTCATCATCAACTTTTTGTGGAGAAATTAAAATTCAATGAATAAAATTCCAAAGAAATTAAATCCAGAATTAAGTTCACACAGAAATACATTTTGAAATCAAATTATCTTACCTTTGTGAGTTAAAATTCAATCAAAGTTCAAACTCCTCAAGTTTAAGTGCAAAGAAATTAAAGTCCTAATTTTTATTCTTCCCAGTGTCAGCCAGATGGCTTCTGGATGCCTGATTTGAGCTGGAATGTCTCCAGCAGCTACCGTCTGGGCTCCTGGAGTGGGTGTCATCCCTCAGGACCACAAAAGTTGAATTAGGTCTACACCAGCATTTTCATGTGCCTTTCTTCCAACCAAACAAAATGATTATCAAACATCAACTCCACACACAGCACAATCAAAACAGGAGTCAGTACAAGTAATGTGTCCATTTCACATAAAGTAATGTTTCTAGGATCCTATGTTTGGGATCTTCTAGATCCACATAACTGTTGCCAAAGCCCATAGGAGAGACTATATGAAGGAAGGCAGCAAAGAGAAAGCAATTGTTATATCAGTCTTTCCAAGGCCATTCTATACCAGAGTCTATGACCTATGATACAACTCAGGTCTATGACCTGAGAAGCGACTTCCCAGGAAGGCATCAATTACAGTATCATGTATTCACAGTCTCTTGAGGGAAAATTTGACCAGTGCACACTGTTGTCTCCTGTTTCAAACAGACTACATAAAATGTTGGTTAACTACTCTGATTTTGGAGCCAGAATTCAAATTCCAGTTATGCTACCTGCATAACCTTGGATAGGTTAACTTGCTTCACAGAGTCAGTTTCCTTATCTGTAAAATAGGAATTGTAGTATTTACCATAATAGGTTGTTGTAAGAATTAAATGAATTTCATGTAAAGTCCTTAGAATAGGTGCCTGACACTTGCTAAATACTGTCTATGATTAATTATCATCGTTATTACAATTATTATTACTCTCAAAGAGGGTTCTGAGACTGTTCCATTCTTGCCACATTTGGAAATTCTCATTGGTGGCAGCACCAGTCAAAAAGACTTGTTTGAGTTATTGTTTTTTTCCTTTTATAGTATTCTGAATACCTTAATATTTTCCCCCCCCCGCCGCCTGAGTCTATGCTTCTGGACCCCATTCAGAGCTGAGGGTGGCCACTGTCTGGTAGCATAGCATGCTCTTTGTCTTAGGCATGGCATTACAATCCTGGGTCACAGTGGCTGTTGTAAGAGCCTCTACTTATGAAACTAAGCTTAAGAAACTTACTTCAGGGCACAGCTTCCTCCTCCTCTCCACATCAGTTCCAATTGGAGAAAACTTTTGACAGATTTCCAAACTGAGACAGCTACTTATGTTTCCATGGCTCTTATTCCTAAGACCCCAGTGAGGACCAACTGGGGTTGGGGATCAACTGGGGAAATGGAACAATTGCCATTTCCTTCTGAAGACATGATCTTTCCTCAGGTTTTGAATGTCCTGGTCTTGGGCTTGAGTTAATGTTTCTGCCTGGCACTTCTTTTCCTGCAATATTCAATATGTGGCTCTAGGGTTTACCTCTAGCATTTGCCTGTTTCTTTCATAAAGTTTCCCTTTACCAGGATGGTTGGGTTAGTATTGTTTGCCATAGTTGAGTGCCTTCTTTCTATTACTTTCCCTTTGCTTTGTGCTGCATATGTGTATTTTCTAATATATGTCTCTAGACATTTTTCTTACGGAGTCTCTCATAGAGATATGAAGACAATAAGTTCTAAGTTTGTCAGTGGTGTCCTTTGTTCAAACCAGTCTTATCGATTTTCACTTCTCTGAGTTAAATAATCCCACTCGGGGTGTACTCCCCCATAGTCTAACATTTAATTGAGATCTGAAGTCCTTGATCTCTTATTGTTCTTCATGGATTCCTTGTAGTATAATTCATGTCATCATGCCTTTCCATATGTTTTTAGGAAACATTTTTTCACCTTTCTCTCTAGTTTCTCCAGATTTTATATATATTCTTTGTGTAATTGTCCTATCCTCAAAAGAGAGTCCCCAATTACTTACTATAAACTTATCCGTAATGCAAATACTGATTCTTCAAAGTATTAAGGATTCTGTCTCCTCTGAGCAATTGTTCTTGGTCTGCTATGCAAGATTTTTGTTTCTCTTTTAGGTTTCACTGGGTACCAATTACGATTTCTGATTTTGTAACAAATAAAATATTTTATCCTTTTGTAATAATTCCTTTTAGAATGGTTAGACTTGCATTTACCTCCTGCTTCTGGCCTTTACGATATCAGTTTCTCCTTTTCCTATCTGTTGAATATGTACTCTTGGGTCAGATGCTTACCCTTGTTCTAAGGGAATCTCTTTCCTCCTCCTCTAAGTCAGCTTGTTTTCTTTTCTTTTGTTTTTATGCATACACAATTCTATTATAATGATGCATATTCTTGAATTATCTTACTTTTTTCCTTGATTCCTTTAGAAAATCTGGTTTCTAGGTTTACAGTCTTTTGGGGGGATAGTTTATGTACCTTAAGTGAAAAAGATAGAGTGTTCCTTTTATTGTAAGTCTACCATTTTTCTTTAGGATATTTAGAACCATGGTTAAAGTTTATGTGATAAAGAGATTTAGAGCTAATTTGGATTGGTGGAGTTTACTTTAAAAGCTTGTGAATGAGCCACGTAAATCTAATGTTAAACTTATCCACATTTCCTTTTTGGCCCAGAATGCAGATTAAAGTAACACAATAAAGAACAGAATTGAAGGCAGTAGATTTAATGCTACCTATCCAAGCCTAGGACTAGTAATTTAAAGACAGAACCTCACTGTAGCACATGTAGAACTCAGCTGCCACTACAGTGTTACATTTGTAGTGTTAAGTACTGGCCTGAAATTTGCCTTCACAACTTAAGAAAAAAACAGTAAATATTTTTTGACTTTCAAGTGCCTAAAATGATGGAATCCCCACTTCAGACTTGCCTGAAATTTCAGGTGAAGTTCACTGCGTGGTTAAAGAATAAGCAGCAGCAGCCTGCACAAGAAGGCAGGCATGATCGGGTGGCACCCCATAGCTAAGCCCTCCACTGCCCACCTGAATTTTCTAAAGGTATTGCCACCCCCAAGCTGGCATTTTTTTGAAGGTCAAGGTTATAGGAAATAATACCAGTGGCATTTAGTTGCTGCAACCCATTAAGCT